GTTTTTCTGGTTCGAAGCCCTAGAAATGATTCCAAATGTTTCCTCTTCCTCTTTATTTATTTTATTTTATTTTTATTTTCTTGAATTTGAAATTGGTTGAACTATGACTCATTAGTTTTTTTTCTAGACAGATTCTGCCTTTCACATTTGGATATTGAAATAAAAGTTCTGAATCTAATTCAAATAATTTGTAATAAAAATTTATAAAAATAAAAAACAAAGGAAAGGAGCTGTTGGGTACATGAGAAGCCAAGTTAGCCCATCCAACTTAATTTGTTAGGAGCATCAAAAAATTATTTTAAAAATCAAAATTAATCCCAATTTAAAAATTTATTTGATCTAAGATTTTTTTTCCACAAACTTTAAAAATAAAAAATACATAATATAAATTATTTTTATTAAATATAATTATTTAATATGAATTTTGATGGACTAAATCAATGTCGACGATACTTTTTTTTTATTACTAGAATTCAACGACTTCTCTCTCATATCTCTTATTTCTCAACTAGAAATTAAAAAATAATAAAAAATAACTTTTATATTAAAATTAATTTGAAAAAATATTGAGATACTATAATTGTATAATTTGCATAATTTTTAAAGTTTAAGAATCAAAATTAATTGGTATTTAATTAGAATTAAATCGCCAAGAAAAATTTGAAGGATCAAATTAAAAAAACAAAAAACTTTACACAACCCATCAACAATAATGTATTAATGAAAGGATAAAGAATAGAGATTTTTATAGAAAAAAACTCACTTGTATTAGAGTAATACTTGATTAAATTAGCAAGCTAGGCATGTGTAATTTATGTTTGCATAGAAAAAAAGGGTAACTTTAAATATCAGGCAGAATCGGAGTACCTTGAAATCCTAATCCCTATGACCCCAAATAAAAAAAATAATAAATTCCAATCCCTATTGCTTATTGCATGCTCGCACTCCATCGGAAGGTCCAATGGCATGTCTTATTTTTCGATGCTTTGATTAACCACTCTCAAACTTGATTAGGCAAAGATGCCATCTAAGGTCAAAGGAAAATCCTTAGGATTCATGATAGCATAATTAGTGGTATCCCAGCATTGACTATAGAGAATGCCGGTTTGTAAAGCGAAACCCTAAACCCAACTTTCGCTATATCTATGAAAGGAGGGCTCAGCTTCTAGAGCTATAATTACCGACAACAATGATTTCGCCACAGAAAGAAAAAGAAATGTCCTGAAGACAAATCGATTCTGCAGTCAAATATTCTAATCTGATATTAGTTTTTTTTTAACAATTCCTTTTGAAAGAAAGAAAGAAATCCATGGATAGAATGGTGCTGTGTTATGATTTTGGACGAAAAAGATACTACACAGAACAAAAAAACGTGTTTGTGAGATATGATGATAAAGATTTCGTAGATATCAAGGAGCTGACAAGGATGTATTTTCTTTTGAAAAGACAAATAGCATCTCTAGTTTATACAGTTCCTTTCAAAAGCGAGATGTCATCTCCCCTGTAAACCATGCCTGCATGTCTTGATTATAGTAAAAACTGCTCTACAACATCGATCCCAGTCCCAGCTTTTTACCACTTACTATTTTATCTCTATATCAATGAAAGTCGAGCCTAAGAACTTAACCCGTGTGAATTTTCATGCCCAGACCACAGAAATTCCCAGCATGCAAAAATCTATACTGCAAAAATCTTCATGCGTGAGACCCTTATAGCGATGGATATATGGGACCTCCATGATTTTCCAGAAGAACCAGGGGTGCTTCACTGTCAACATCCTTCGTAGATGTGCTGTGATTGAAACAAGAAAATCCTAGCTGGGTTGTAGTAAGAATAAAGAAAAGCAGACACAATCCTACCCTCCCACTCCGTACCTTTTTTCACTTTCTGCAGATATGACTCCACTGTCCATCTTCTACCGAAAGCATGTGCATGGGTGATGGTGTGGGGGAGCCACTTTTGGTGATTGTCATCCTTACGGCCACAAGAAAAGGACTAAAAAAGCAAATGGGACTTCATTGGAGAACCTATACCGATTGAGATCGGGCTCTCTCTTTACTAGACATGCATCATGACCCTTGTGTTATGGATTGTCTCACCTGCTACGGCATCATTGGTCCCCTCTCCCCTCTCTCTTTCTCTGGGGATTTTTCATTTTGTGTCAGAGTTTTGTTTTAGAGTTATTTTCCTTTTCCATTAGCACTGGAACCTCAATGGCATCACACCACATCAGAGTGCGGGCCGGTGATGGTCCATGGACCATACTAACTGGCCCATGGTGTGCTTTCTTGTGGGTGGACACCCGTCCTACATGGGCTATGCAAATATCAAATCTGTGCAAGGATGAACTAAGAGTTTTCGACGAGGCAGGGTCGCCATCGTTGGATAAAACTCAAAATTAATTTCTAAACGCATAATCTCAAAAGAAATGGGGGACATTGGCAAGCTGAAATTTGACATTTCACTTTTTGCTACTCTGTGTTTAAAAGGTCTACTTAGAGGTAATCTCTAAGAATTTGTGCAATAAATCCACAACACAAATAAATAAACTAAATATGAAGTATATTTTTGAAGAAAATTGCACTCCTTTATCAAATAAGCGAACACTTGGATAAAGTCTATTTTTTTTTTCTATTAATCAAAGATTAATTGAGCATTCGTAAGCATTACAACCAGAATCACATAATAGAAGTCTTAATTACTTGGTCCAATAAGAAATACAAAAAAATCCCTCCTAAAAATACATAAAAAAAAAAAAAACAGAGAGAGAACACCTGAATCGCATTTACGTTTCCCAGTGGTTATCCTAAACACAGCAGCTAAGCCACAACGTGGATAAAATCTATGCTTGCATGTGATCATTGGGTAATAATACATTAGCCAACATACTTGCAAGTAAGATTCCAAGTAAATTTTGAAAAATTAAAAAAGAAGAAGAAAGAGCTAAGGCTAGCTGCAGTCTGGTTTAAAAGGTAAAAGCCCAAGTACACCTGTTTTTCTCTGGTTTTTTAATGGATAGATAGCATATCATCAACTATATATCCTTTTTATTTTTTTAAAAAAATTGATTCGGACAACACATTGTTTATTATCATTTTTTTTTTTATCAACTTCGATTATCAAAGATTCTGAAAACTTCAATAAATCTTTTTCAACCTCAAAACACCTCAATTTAATCTAAAAACCAAAATAAAAATAACTTTAAGGGCCTGCTTCCACTCTTTTTGACAAGTTCAAAGGAATGAGTAATTGGGAATTCCAACATGCAACTCTGGAAGCACTGTACAAAAAAGATTCAAGGTATGTTTGTAATTAAGCTTTCAATAACTGTAATCTAATATTCATCCTCTTTTGCTCAAACTAGAATTGCACTAACGTGACATTAATAATTGTTATGATAGTGCTGATGTTAGGTACCTTTGGACAATTGCTGCAGAATCGTTGAAGCCTTAGTTATCAAGATTTATTGGGCTTAATTTTCGTTTTGTTTACCAAGTTGGTAATGCATTTGGCTATCATAGCTGCTGAGGTGCGGTGTTATGAATTTCATACTCTAATATAGTAATGATTGCTGCATGTTTGCAAGGAGTTAGGCGGCTAAAAAGTCACGTGTGTAGCACAATGGTCGCGACATACGTTCCCATAATTTGCTAGATCACAGGAATGTGAGGGCAAATTACTGGGGCCATAGACTAATCTCAGCTGGGTGTTCTCCAAGGGTTCTAGCTTTGCCAAAGAAATGGCTTCACCGTGAAATGGAAAATGACACAGAAATTTACAATGTGTCAAACAATTATCTTACCTAACACTTTAAATTTTTAGATGAGATGCCAAGATATGATTTATATTATTTTTTAATATATATTTTTAAATAAAAGTTTTTTAGACTTGAAACTTGCATAGATCCACATTACTTTATATTTAATTTTTTATTAAATAAATGAGAATACTGAGATTCAAACCCATGATTGCTTATTCATTAAAACTTTAAAACCATATAAAAAATCATCTCATCTAATAACTTCAATATTTTAATAAAATAGTTGTTTGACACAATAAACGAGTGAATCAAAGATGGTACATGGGGACGGCTAGTTCATCATGGGCAGATGAAGAAAAGATCAGCATAAGACCAATAGAGAAGTAAGTGAATGATGGTGGTAGATGTAACAAGGATTGTCCATCCTGATTATTTTTGAGAATTAGATAGATGAGAACATCCTGATTATTTTTTTATTCATTAAAACGCGTCAAAACAACGAAAACACATAAAAAATAAATTTTCAACAAAAAAAAATTAAAGTCTTTGAAAACACACGGCCAGCCGCGTTTCCCAAACGCTTACAAGAACCAGCTGCAGCAGTGTAACCATGGAGATTCGGTATATAAGACAGCAGAAGTAAAACCTGGAAATAATATACTAACCAGTGAGGTTCCGAAGATGGTACGGGCCATAGAGTATAACCATCAGCACGTTGTTGCTGTTGTTTTTTTGTCAGATTCATCGCTATTTGCTCCATTGTTGAAAATAATTTTTTAAGTTTTTAAAAATAGAGAGAATGTTTTTTTCTGATAGTAGAGAGAATGCTTAGGTCAATGACAATAATTCATATATAACAAATAAATTATCGATACGTTAAAGCCTAATAATAGACATAGAAGGTTCTAGTTTCTTAATGCACTCAAATTTGTTTCCTTTACTTTTTTTTTGGAGGACAAATAATAAGGTTTGGTTAAGGTAGAAGTCCTGCTATCATTACAACTTGCTGCTGTTCAAATCTAGAAATGAATCAAGCTTCATAACTTTAATTCTTTCGAAAAAAATCTCTTATCCTTCTCTTCTAGTATTGGAACTAGCCCACATTTCGTGAATCCTTGCCATAGCATCATCCATAAAAGCACTATCTGGAAGGGAATTGCGTAGATCGTCATTCAACTCCTGATGATTATTAAATTGAATATCATTATTGGGCTCCACAAGATGATCATTGCCCTCCATATTATCCATGGGCAGCGTGGTCGGCGGCATGGAAGAGATGGATCCATTCAATCCTGCGCCATGCATAGTCAGGGGCATGGAAGAGCTGGGTCCATTCAATCCGGCGCCATGCATAGTCAGGGGCATGGAAGAGTTGGGTTCTTTCAATCCTGCGCCATGCATAGTCAGGGGCATGGAAGATCCATTCAATTCTGCGCCATGCATAGTGATCAGGGGCATGGAAAATCCATTCAATTCTGCGCCATGCATAGTGATCAGGGGCATGGAAAATCCATTCAATTCTGCGCCATGCATAGTGATCAGGGGCATGGAAAATCCATTCAATTCTGCGCCATGCATAGTGATCAGGGGCATGGAAAATCCATTCAATTCTGCGCCATGCATAGTGATCAGGGGCATGGAAGATGCATTCAATCCTGCACCGTGCATCATGGAAGAGTTGGGTACATTCAATCCTGCGCCATGCATAGTCAGGGGCATGGAAGAGCTGGGCCCTTTCAATCTTGCGTCATGCATAGGCAGGGGCATGGAAGATCCATTCAATCCTGCGCCATGCATAGTCAGGGGCATGGAAGAGCTGGGCCCTTTCAATCTTGCGTCATGCATAGGCAGGGGCATGGAAGATCCATTCAATCCTGCGCCATGCATAGTCAGGGGCATGGAAAAGTTGGGTCCGTTCAATCCTGCTAAGTGCATTGTAGAGTTGGGTTCATTCAATTCTGCGCCATGCATAGTCAGGGGCATCAAAGAGTTTGGTCCCCTCATGAATCCCGCGCCATGCAAAGAGTTTGGTCCCCTCATGAATCCTGCGCCATGCATAGTCAGGGGCATGGAAGAGCTGGGCCCATTCAATCCTGCGACATTCATTGTCAAGGGCATGGAAGAACTTGGTACAGTAAATGCAACACGTTGTGAAGATACTCTGCCAGTCCCCTCAATTGAATTAGGCAATGTATACATTGCTGGTTCCATCATTGCCGCAGTCTGATTACTGTTGTCACCATAACAACATTGATTCATGTTGGAATCATAAGGTTGGATTCCGTTAAAGTAAACTTCCATTGTATCACTAGTAAAAGCGGCATGATTGGCTGGTTGCTGAGAATTATCATTATAAGACGTGGAAGCATCATTTCTTGAATCTGCGGGGCCGTGGCTTACAGTGTTGCCATAGTTTCTTGATTTTTTACCAGTCTTCTTAGCTTCTGCCTTTTGTTTCTCTCCTTTAAGGTATATTCTACATAAAATACAATCATTCAACTGCAACAAAATAATATGTCCATCAGGGAAAAAAAAAAAACAAAAACAAAGAATCATATTTAAAAGTAGAGAATAACTAATTCATACCCTCATGCCTTCGCTACTACTTGAAGAAACATTATTAGTTGTAGGATAGTACTCATGCATCTTCCAGTCTGTTCTACTACCACCTTTCCCTTTCCCTTCATAAAAATCTAGTGATCTTCTTTCGACTATCGTGTTGCTGTTTTCATCAAGGATTTTTGTATCTGGACTTCCAGTAGGCTTCCAAAATCCACCAGGCACTCCTCGATCAGGTCGATTCCCATTGGGATACTTTCTGGTTCTAGTAGTGAAAAAATACCACGCATCTTCACGATATAGCTTGTACTTCTCTGATCATACGCAAACAAAAAGGAAAACTGTTCCATTAGATATATTATTCATGGATCAATGTAACATTGTTTTATACACAAACAGGCATTAACTACATATTATAATATACATAAGGAAGCAATATACTAACCAGCAAGTGTTTTTGGATGGTATTCGTAAATATTAACCTCATGAATACGGTTCTTAGGCAATGGTTCATTCCTAATCTTTTTCATCAAGTACTCCACAACCAGCTCTTGATCATGAGGGAAAAACCTAATTCCGGTTGCAAAGGCACGAAAATATGGATCAATGTAGTTCCCATCATCTACATTAACACGACCTACAAGAACCAATCAGTAGAATGTTATTATATAATTCACAAACCGATCACTATACGAGTGAAAAGCTTTTAGTTTCAAAGAAAATAAAACTACGTACTGCCATAATTTAATAATACTCACTAGAGGACCCTTGTGGTTGTGGCTGGTCAAGGCGATTAACCAAATTAGTAGGTGAACAGGCCGTGATCATGGCATTGTTGGGCGGCGTACTAAACTGATCAGGAAACATATCAGCACTGGCATTGCTAAGGATATTTGTACCAAATTGCGTGTCATTGTCATCGCTGTCACGGTCACTTGCACCCGCTTTCATCTTCTTACTGTTGTTGTAGTTAGACATACTAGACTGGCCATTATTTTGCTGCATGGCTGGAAAAAGCTTCTTTCTTTAGAGTATACAGAGAAGATTAGGTGCTTAAGAACATAGCTGAAACTTGTGTGCAGGGAGGGGAATATAAATACATTGCTGCTCAACCTCATTACTAATACGGAATGGACAAGTTTTCTGTGTTCTTCAAGGCATAAAAGAGACCAAGAATCCTTTGATTACTTTTATTTTAAAATTGTAGATAAACATTAAGCTAAAATTAGCAGCCTGTACTGTGAAAATCCGAAAATACAGGAGTCCATATGTCCGTACAATTCTTCAAGTAACCAATCAGATTAAATTGAGAGGATATTCTCTAGAGAAAAATATAGGAGGTCGTATTTTAAACTGATTAAAATTCGGATTAGTTTAGGATAGGCCTGGATGTGGGCTCGGCCCACAAGTTTTATTTTTATTTTTCTTAAATGGGCATTCTCCTTGCGACATTTGAGCTTTGATTCAAGATTTATCTTCATTCTTCACTGCCGAAAGCAAGCAATCTTGAATTTGGTCCCTCAAAGAAAAATATTATTTTTCAATTAGGCAAACAAGGAGTTGATGTGAACGGGCCATTTGCTTCGGGCCCGAGATAGATCATTGCTTCTGAACTTTGGAACTGAGTGAGGCCCAAGCTCTAACTGTTTGGGATTGCAGCCCAAATGTAGAATTTGACTAAAATTTATTTATTTTTTATTTAAAATTAATCATGCCTCTCTTTTCCAAGTAAGTAAATAGTGCTGATGAAAAATGTAGATGCTCACAATTACCATCCTCAGCTCTGCCGACCGCTTGCTGTGGTAAGAGCAAACAGAAATCCTCCATTGACGAGGGATCTTTTGGAAGAATCTGAGACTGGCAAGTTGAACAAGCAGTCTTGAACATTGAACTTTGGCACCTCTCGAGGCTGCTCAAACTCAAGAAATCAAGATTCTTCAGGGGGCCATTGCAAATGGGACAGAACAGCTCTGCCGAAATTGTTTCCCTAGGCTTTAGATTGTAGCTCTTTTGACGCCTTCGAGAAGCCAAAAGGAACAGTGCAGTGCTACCATCAATTTCAGGAATCCTGTTGAATTCGAATGGAGTATGCCTTCCAGCTGTTCGTACAGTCGTGCACTCACGAGAAGGATTTTCTTCCTAAAATCCAAAAGGTTTAACAGTAACCTGCTAATTAATGTTCAAGAAAAATCAAGGGCAGATACATTATACATATATATAGAAATAATACAATTAAAATTCTCTTGTTTTTTTTTTTTCGTAATGGGTACTAGAAGATTTTATTATTTTTGACTTAACCTATTTATGATTATTTTTTCCATATCTTTAATTTTTTAATATATTTTTACTTTTTCTTTTTTTCTTTACATATTTATTTTGAAAAAAATATTCCTTACATTTAAATATTTATCACACATATTTTTTTTTTAAATATTCCTTACATTTAAATATTTATCACTTTACATTTAACCTAATTATATCATTTTTTTCTTATCTTTATTTTTTTGTAATTTTTTATTTCAACATTTTTTAAAATTATTATGCAAATAAGAAAATAGTATTTGAATGTTGCAATTATAATATTATTCTATTTTTAAACTGTATTAAAAATAAAATTAAAATCTTACAAGTTTTTATTAAGGTATATAATTATTACTATATTTTATATTATGATATTTTTATCAATTTATCAATTTATAATTATATTTTTTATTCACTATTGAAAAGATATATTAATATAATTTATACATAAATTTATTTGCATTAAAAAAATTATTTAACCTCAACTAAGCAAGTAAGCAAGTCAAATAGTCCTCCTCGAAACCATCTAGGTGGTGACCAAGTGGTAAAGACTTGGAACTAAGGGGTTTGCTTTCTCTGTGGTCTCAGCTTCGAGTCCTTGGTTGCTCATATGATGGTCACTGGAGGCTTACATGGTCGTTAACTTTAGAGCCCGTGGGATTAGTCGTGGTGTGCGCAAGTTGGCCCGGACATCCATGTTAATAATAAAAAAAATAGTCCTCCTCGACTTATGAATTGGTTTGGCAACCTAAGGAATGGTTTGACGTGGAAAATCTTGAGGTAAGTGAAACTAAACTACCATGGGTTATCTCAAGTCAAGTTTTACTCGCGATTTTCATTATATTTTTTTAATATAAGAACTTGGTAAAGAAGGATATTAATGAGTTTTTTCTTTGGCCTATTTGACTGCACATAAATTCCAATTAATCATAATTAGGATTTCAAAAAAAAAGGAGGGTTGTTTTTAGAGGTCTCGTCATAATTGTTTTTTCAATGGGATGGATTAGCTTTTATCATATTGATTTATAAATTTATTTAATAATAAAACAAAACAAAATAAAACAAATAAAATAAATAATTTTAGTTGCACTCATTTTCATTTATATGAGATGGTTTCAAAGACTGTTGAGTTGAGCATCACTCCTCTGCTAAGAAAATTGGGAATTGCCCTTTTCCTCTCTCTTTCTCTCTCCTTTTCATTTCAGCCATTTTTTTTTATCTCCTCTTTTTTTTTTCAATTTGATTTTTTGATTTTTTTATATTTTTTTATATTTTTTAAATTATTTTTGAACTGGTCAAGTCAACTGGATCATATTAAGATATTTTTAACAAGATTTAATTTAAATCTGATCTAAACAAAAAAAATAGGTTAAGATTTTTTTCTCTATTATTTTCATCATTTTTTTCTTAATTTCATTTTCAAATTTTTTTTACTAATCAGTTAAATTTTTTTTTAACCAAGGAGTTGATAACGTCGCTGTACTATAGAAAGCTATTGGATGTGAGTCAATGAGTCTATCTATATATATATTCTAGATCCTATATTTTGAATCAAATCCTATATAATTTAATTTTAAACTAACATGAAGTAAGTTCCTAAGTTTTTTTATATATTTTTTTTAATTTCATCATTATATATTTTTCACTAATAGATTGGATATCTTTGAATCGGTCAAGTTAACTAAGTTATATCATGACAATATTGTATATTTTTCATTAATAGATTGGATATCTTTGAATTGGTCAAGTTAACTAAGTTATATCATGACAATCTCCACACAATTTAATTTTAAACTAGAGTCAAATATAGAGTTAGATAAAAATATTTTAAGATTAACTCGCTAGGTCGGATTTAATAAAAATACATAATAGTTTTTTATTACTTGAAATTTTTTTTATTACTTAAAAAAAATGATTTAAAATGTAACATAATAGTGAATTATAAACTACTATCTTTTAAATAATTTATTTATAAAAAAATACACCTGGGATAAAGTTCATACATTCTATTGGGCTAGGGAGGCTATTCAATATTTAGCATGATTTTCTTTATGGTGTTGAAGAAAATGGTAATTTCCATAAGATAACAGTAAAATAAATATAGAAAAAGGACTGCAATTTAATAAAACAAAACAAGATTTTGATTATTATACATGAACTTTGAAAATTATAAAAACAATATTCAAATTAAAGTTTCAAACATAATAATACTTATTTGTGTTCAATAATTATTTTTCTACTACACGAAATTCGATATTAATATTATAGAAAAGAAAACATAGCTCAAATTTTTCTGTTATTATTATTATTATTATTTCTTTTTTCTTTTCTTTTTTAATTTTTGATGAAGGCTCCAATTTCAACGGGCTGGGTTGGTTTTGACATAGAAATATCAATTAGGGCTTCTTGGTTTATGGGCTAAAACCCAGGACGGAAAAATAAACTCTGCTAAACCTCCAGTCCCCGTTTGCCGAAGTACACAGTTCACACTGTTTTCGAGCTTTACATGTAAACCTGGTTCTCTGCTCAAGTTTCAAACTTGATAGCTAACAACAAAAGCTGTAAGCCCATGTCAAGGTTTTCACTGATTGGTCATTTTTTCTTCGCTGTTAGTTTCATGTTTAGAAAATAGAAAGTAAATTCTGTGTTTTCATTTGTTTTCTTATTCATTTTTGTTTGATTGGGTTTGTTGGTTTTTGGAAGTGAAGTGTGCAGGAAGATGAGAAAGTCATGATTTTTTGTTCCATTTCTGTGTGTTTTTCATTCAGACTTTACACTGCTGCTCAGCTCTTTAACAACGACACTGCAGCCTGTGCTAAGAACCTGCACTTAAATAAGCTTCTGCTTTTTGTTAGAATTTTTTTTTATTGTTTTTGTATTGTTGTTCAATGTTTGTTCATATAAAAGGAATTTGGGATGAAGGTTTGTTGTGTTCGGTGTAAATTTGAGTGTATATGAGCTACTTTGGTTTGGTTTTGAATTCATAGTGGATAAAGGAGAGATCAGTATCTGGTGTTTTGTGAAATTATCTAGCGGGTTTGAGAAGCTATTTTATATTTTAGCTTGGATGAATGCTTGAAAATATAGAAATCTTTGTTACTGGACATATGGGAGTGTTTAAAACAATGTACTTTGGTAGGATTGTTAATTTGGTTTTACATTATAGGTTGCCTTTCATATTCAAGAGCTAAGGGAGCTTTAAAGAAATAAGTTGAACAGAGTAGAATGGGGGTGCCAGATGCCTCTGGGGACTTGTCATCGGAGATGGAGGTGGATGCTTTCAGACGCCTCTTCCCTCTTCGCTATTTTGAGCGTCATCTCTCAGAATCTATACGCCCAGATGCAAGGCCTCTTGGAAGAGCTAGAGATACAACATTAGCCCTTGGTTGGCTTAGCATTGTTTTAGTCTTAGTTTCTCTCATTTTCATGTTCTTAGCTAGATATTGCTCATATAATCTTGATGACTGAACTGAATGTTATTAACATGTAGGGGCTGTTGCATCTGCTCACGGGTCGGCATTGGCAAAGATTGGTTCAACTGTTAGCACCCCCCTTCTCATGTATGTCCAAATGTGCTTGTTTGAGTAATCTTATTCAAAATCATGTACTTTCTTTCTTGCACAGACCATGTTGGCTGCCATAAAAATGGAAGTGATGACCCCTTCAACAGATTCACCAGACGAGGGCTGCATAGGTTGTTAGCCATGCACTTTGAATTTTGTTCATCTTCTCTTTTTTTAATTTTCACGCATATGTACCTTTTTCTCTTGCTTTGATTTATAGGATGTCAATACATGAATCTTGTTTTTTTCAGCTATTGATTTCCACATGCCTCCAATTTGTTCTCCAATTGTTAGGCCTGGTAGGCCTGCTGAGGTAGCTCCAGTGATATCGAAGCAATTATCTGATACCATATCAAGGCAAGTGAAGTTTTCTGCTTCTATTGACTCCCCCCAACCCCTCATTTTGCATGCAGAGATGTGTGTATCACATAAGCTTCACCTTTTACCTTATTGTGTTGGTTAAAAAAAGCTGTTAGCCTATTGAAATCAACTTGCTCTATTTGTTTTTAGTGGATTCATAACTTGTTCAATATAGTCCTCATGCATTGTCTATCATTGACGTGTTACAGTTCTAGCATGATTAATCTGAAGGAACTGTCCTTGGTCAGTGGAAAAGCTGCCTGGATGGCTTACCTGGTTAGTGGTATTGGTTTCCACCTTCTTTCTTAATTTTTGGCTTCAAAATTAAGGTGGTCACTGCCTGTTTTTCTCTTTTCATTCTTTCAAAAGCAGAAATGCGTTTAATGTATATTGGCCATTGATCAGATTTTTTCCCTTTATATTGTTCCAAAAAGAGTTAGCGTCACTGCCTGTTTATCTCTTTTCCATCTTTCAAAAGAAGAAATGCATTTAATGTATATTGGGCATTTATCAAATTTTGTTCCTTTATATTGTTCCAAAAAGAGTTAGCTTTGGCATACTTTGACTAACTATGATATTTTTTTTCTTCTGTTGGATGACAAATTAATGTGTCGTATCTCCTGAAGGACATCTATTGTTTGGATGCTGATGGTGCTCTTTTGGATGCTGCACTACTTTCAGCTGTTGCCGCATTCTCTCATTGTAAGCTGCATCCTTTTCATGTTCACATAACTTGTGGCCAGTTAAAGTGAAACAAGGCATAGACTAACAAGAATACTTGCCTAAAGCCCATACACCTCATTCCCCAACATGTTTCCCTTTATTCATTTATTGTGAAATCACTTTCCACGGACACTGGAAGATTGAATTTGATTCATTTTGCATTAGCTATTGAAATTCTATCATATGTATAGATTTATTTATATATATTCCAGTGGCTTGGTTCTTTTTTTTTTTCTTCCATTAATTCAAATGAAATTATAGGTTTATTGGATTTGCTATGATACAAAAGTCTTTCTTTGATTGGAAAAAAATGTAAATGTATTCTTATGTTAGAAAAATGTATAAAAATGAATATTTACATTTTTTAAATTATTTTCAATTTTAATTCTAAGAATAGATAGCATAAGAGACGAGATAATCTATAAATTTTGACTTCATTTAACTTTATCTATTTTTTTTAATTTCAATGTTTTTTATTTGAGAATCTTTTCTATTCTCGTCTGCTCTGATCTGTTCTTTTTTTTTTTTCAAAATTGATTAAAAAATTTTCTATTTCATTTCTAATGTTTGGATATGTGTTTGGTTCTCCAGGGGGTTAATGCTCCTGTATTCTTCAAAAATAAACCACTTATAAGAGTTGAGGATTTAGTAAAACCCAATTTAGATATGTATGAACAGGTTCCAAAAGTTCTTTGTTATCTTTCTATAGAACTTTACTGAAGTAGCTCTGGTTTCTATATGTCCAAATAAATATGTCAAGGAAAGCCAGTTTCTTGTGAATATCATACGGGCCTAAAAATGTCGATCATGGAGATCATGGTTCTTTGATGATTTGAAATCATCTGATCTGGTTTGTTGATTCAAAATCATTTGATTTGAGAATTCTGTATAGCATTATATTCCAGATAATTTCCATGGTATCAATGGCTTCCCATATATTTGGTACACAATAAGCCTTCATCACTTTGCTAGCCTGACAAATGACAGAAAATGTGCGGTGACACGCAGTTTTACCTTTTTTTCTAGTTATACAGCTATTAATTATTCCCAAGGCAAAGTAGCATTGGTAATTTGTTGCCTTTTATCCTTATGAGTTCAGTACAAGCTCGATCACTTTCTATAATGTTAGTTTGTTTCACTGGATGTGATTTTTGTACAAATTAAACTCTGCTTAACACTCATATTTGTATCTGTAGACTGTAGCTGTCTTTATTTATTATGGAAACTTAATATGTTGCAGTGCAAATCCCCATAGTTTCCTTAAATGATGATGGAAAAATAGTACTTGTATCGGAGGAAGATGAGGGAGCAAAATTGGAGGAGCCTGTCAACAAGGAAAAGAGGAAGCTCACACTGAGCAGCATTCCATTTTCATTAACATGCATACTTCATAAAAATTACATCTTGGCAGACCCCACTGCAGAGGAAGAGTCCATCATGGAAACTCTTGTAACTGTGGTTTTGGATTCATCTGCCAGACTTGTATCTTTTTACAAGCCAGGTGGATCAGTTCTTGCCTATACATCAACGGTCCAGGTTAGTTTGTGCTTTTGATAACATAGATCCATGGCTCCCAAAATATAATTTGATGTTGAAGTATCCACTTAAATTGTCATTTAAGATAGAAAGTAGAACAGTCTGTTCTTTAGAACCATGGCAATGGAAGCAACAGGCACATTTGGTTCTCTACATCAAGATAAATCTGTTACCTATTCTGGGGAGTGGCATTGACTATATGATAAAGTTTTCACATTCAAGTCTCTTAAAAGTTTTGAACTACTGGGGTTTGTGTGGAAATTTGAAATTTTGACATGGCTTGCCTTCAAATGCCCAGATCATGTTAGGAATTCTAGTCCTTAACACAAGTGATGTTTAATGAGGTAGATCTGTTTGGTTGGGTTTTCTTGTTCCAAATGTGTTGAAGACAGTACACAAGAGCTGATAGCTAGGAAGTGATATATTCAATCCTTTCAAATAAAACCAATGAAACTTTCTATTAACGTATAGGATACATTTCTAGCATTCGGGTAGAACTCCTAATATGGTTTGCATCATCACTTGTTCCTTGGTTAGACACTAAGTGAATAGTGAGATGTTTATTAGTTTGATGCTTACAAAGAAGTGGCCTGCTGAGGTTGCAGGATTGCGTTGCATTGACAAGGCAGAGAGTCAAGGAACTTCAAGAGATTTTAGACGAGGCCATTTCTGGTATGGAGATCGACTAAGTTTCATCTGATAGGGAGTAATTCTACAGTTTAAAATACAATGTTCATTCTATCTTCTTCCTACTGTGTAACGAGTGATTCTGAAAGAGATTTTTTGAGGTAAAAGTTATTAGCGAATTATTACTCGTCAATGAAGAGCTGTTGGTGGCATTTTCTTCCATCTTTATTACAAATTACAAAAAACCTAAAAGGTAGTTCTTTACTGTATATTGTGAGGAGAAATATTGTGGATTCTGACAATGTAGTAATCATTCTATCTTTCATTGCATTTAACAATTACCTTGGAAGCGGGGATAAAATATAGGGGATTCAAATATTATTGGTAAATTGATTGGAGGTAATTTAGTTATTTACTTTTTAAAATTTACAGTAAAAATGTTTCCTTCCTTTCTGTTCTCTCCTCTCTCATAGTTCTTAGTATTCTTTAAAAATTTAGTGGTGCATAGGTGAATGGTTTTTATAATTTAATTTATTATTAATTTATTAATTAATTGATTTATATTTAAAAAGTAAGTACAATGTTTAGCAACCTGTAATGATCTTTCAAATATTAGAAAAATTATAAGTAGTTTGATTTAATGTTTTAACAACTAGTTTCTTATTGTAATTATTATTTATTCATTAAAAATGTTTTGATTTAAACATTATAGTATTATAGTATAAAGTATGTCTTTTTTGTCAAATCATGTTAGTTTTCAATATTATAGTTATTGATTATTTGAATAAGATTTTAATTTTTTTTTCAAAACTCATTTCACTTTAACTAATGATTTTATAATCAATACTATTTGAGAACATATTAAACTTATTTATGTGTTTATTTAAGGTGATGAATCATTTCTTGATTAGTTAAATATCTTCATATAGTTTAAGCTATATTCAATATTTGTCCATTTATTAGACATGATTAGAACAACGTGTGATTAAAATTAAAGTATAATACTCTTTATATAAAATAATTTAATAATTTTATGTTTAAGGATTACTCACTCAATTGTCATGTGAGCTTTTCTTTAGATATAAATGATATCTCCATATGAAATTCTCTTATAGGTCAATTCAATATACATATTATGTGACAAGAACTTACATATTAGTTTCAAGTATCTTTTATATCTTAATTTATAAGAGTAATTGTTTCCTTTCATATAAAAAAATATATAATATGCATTGGTTTTAAACACTCTAATTAATATTCATTTTTAATAGAATATTAACAAACAAAAATTTAGGAATTAATAATACTTTGGTACAATAAGAATATTATAATTATAATAAGATTATAATTTTTTTTGTAAAATATTTTTTTAGCATGGATTTTATCTTTACTCTAGATTATTAATTCAAAATTATATTTATTAATAAAATATAAATGAATATTAAAAAAAATATTAACAATAAATATATTTTATACAAATAAAATCAAAACCAATTAAGATATATTTAGCAGAGTAACATCCAACTTCCTCTCCTGCGTGTTCAGGTAGACCAACTTGGCAGCATATTCTGTATTACTCATTTCGAAGGCAATCCACCCTCCCATCCCTCCCACCCCCACCCCCCGCTTCCCTTCCCTTCTTCTCTACTTCAGGAACTTGGAACCACACCATTTCTTGACTTGCACATGGTATCAATTACTAAGCGAAAACCTTTAGCTTGACTCTGTAGTGTGAGGTCTTGGCTTTTTTACTTGATTTTTTTTAATATACATTCATCAAGTGACCAGAAAAAATATGAGGGCATTTATTCTTAAGCTGCTTTCTGGGTTCAAGCTTCAAAGCCACGTATGTCTTTAACAATGATCAAACAAATTGAAGCACAAGGCTGATGGTTTTTGAAACTTCCTTCCTTGGATTATAGTACTATTGCTTGATGGATTGATGCTTGTAAAGTGGTATCTGGCTCATTTATTGCGATTCTCAAATTGAGTTATGCGTGTGAGCCTCGAGGCTTCATTGCAATTATGGCCCTCCCTGGAAAATTGCTCTAACCAATGCCTAAATGAAGACTTGTGATGGCTTGAATTAACAAGTATAGCAATCGGAAGTCCTACGCCGCGTCCTGAAAATTCGATCTCATAAACATAATCTCAAGTTCAGGGATTTTAGATTTACATAATCTCATGAAAATAAAAATAAAATAAATAATAAAACTCCACGTCTAATATTTATGAAATTTAAAAATAATTTAAAAAAGCCAATGTTAAATCAAAATAATCTTCAAAATCAATAACTTGAATCATTAATCTAATCCTGATATAAAAATTAAATAAAAGAAAATAATCAAGGATTAAATTAAAAAATAAAATAAATTAAAAAATAGATAAAAATAACAATTAAAAAAATAACCAAAATTGAATAAAATATTAAATAAAATAAAATATTCATGAATGAAATTAAAACAAAAAATAAATTATAAAAAGATTATAAAAATCAATCACAAGAATGATAATCAAATTTAATAAAAAAAATTAAATAAAATAAAATGTCTTGAGATAAAATCAAATAAAAAAACTTCAAAAAATATTAAAAGCAAAACAAATAATAATTATAATAATAGATGTTAAAATTGAAGTACATAACAATTAAGGATATATTTAATTTTTAGAAGGTCCAATATGAAAATCAAGGTGTGAAAAGATAAAAGAAGAAGGTAAAAAATATTCATCAGCAATCAATCGCACTTCCGCCATTTACATGTGTTATATCATCGTGTGGAAGATAACATGTTAGTTCCAATATCATCATGAATTGTGATATTTGAATATAAGTGTTGTGTTAGAAAATAATATAAATCATATCCTGAAACCTCACCTAATAGCTTAATTTTTTAGATGAGATGGTTATTTGACATGATATCAGAGTCTTGATAATCACCTAATAGCTTAATCTTTTAGGTGAGATGGTTTTTTGACATGATATCAGAGCCTTGATAACCAAACGGTCTCGAGTTCGAATCTCACTATACCCATTTATTTGATAAAACAATTAAGCACAAGGTAATGCGGGTCTGTGCAAGTTTCAAGCCCAAAAGGCTTTCACTTGAGGAGGTGTGTTAGAGAATAATATAAATTATATCCTGGAATCTCACCTAATAGCTTAAGCTTTTAGATGAGATGGTTCTTTGACATGTTGCATCTTTTTTAATAATGCGTGCATAATATATATCAATAATTTTTTTATTTGTAATTATTTTTATATATATTTAAGAGATAATTCTCTCTCATTTAAATTGATAGTGATAAAAAAAAATTGTTATGAAAAAATCCAATCAACCCTAACCGACAATATTATTTTTTTGAAATGTAAAGGTAATATGGTTATTTAACTACATATTTAAAGGTTAAAAACACATTTACTTGGTTGCTCATATGATGGCCACTGGAGGCTTACATGGTCGTTAACTTCAGGGCCCGTGGGATTAGTCGTGGTGCGCGCAAGCTGGCCCGGACACCCACATTAAGCTAAAAAAAAAAAAGATTGGAAAATTTATCTAGTGGTTTTAAAATGGAGCTTTCACGTGTGTTTTGTATTTAATTAAAAGTATAATATACAATAAATATTAAACTTTTAGAAAATGTGTTTTTACTTTAGTAAAAATAGAGAGGATGAGAGAATTTAATCTTCACAATAAGCGAACAAAAATCAAGCAAAAATCAGAAACTAGAAGGACACCTAGGACTAACCCAATCAAAAATAAAAAATAAAAATATTTAGTTAACTCGATCAAAAATTTAAACTGAATTATCTGATATATCTCGGTTTAACCTGTAAAAACTCAAGTCATAATTATTATTAATTTTTATTAAAATAACACTGTTTTATTTAAAAAAAATACTTGGATCTACCCTCCAAATATTTGAGTTTTATAACTACGCAAAATTGTATTGCCGCAGAAACTATTTCCGTGGAAATAAAATAAAAGAAGAAAAGAAGGAAGGATCAAATTATCTTCTCAAGTTTCAAACAGTAGAATGTTGTGCGAATAACAAATCCTCATGTTTAATTAATTTCCAATCTTGGTGGTCGTCCATGCATGAATGCTTTGGTGGTCGTCCATGGATGAATGCTCTGTTAGAATTAACAATATTGCTTGCTTTTCACTGAGAACACAATCAAAATGAAGAATCTCTTACAAGGCAAAAGGCCGCTCTTACACTGCAGAAAAAACATCTAGTCACCAATTTCCCTGTCATCATCCAAATCCTCCTCAGTTGCTTTTGGGATTCCAATTCAACCAATCAGAATCCAGGAAACTCCATCATGAAAACCATAGCAGATAGACGCGGGTATACGCACTCCCAGACTACCTGTTTCGCCACGTGTCCTTCCCTCTCACCACTAACCATAATAACCAACTTTTCTCTTCAGAAATGCCCCTCCACACAGAAATTATAAACTCACAGCATTTAACCTCGTGGAAGAAAAAGAAAAGAAAAGAAGAAGAATAAAGAAACAAAATTGAACCACGACCCAAAAAACACAGTGACAAGAAACAGAAGCAGATTCAGAAATTATTTCTTCCGAAATCTGTTTTCTCTAGCTTTGTTCTCCCTCTCTCCAATTTAGAAACAGAGGAGAGAAACAGAGGGCTCTGTTTTTTGAATTGCTTAAAGTGAGCTTTTTCCTACCAAGAATGGCTTCTCTAGTGTCCTCTCCATTCACTTTACAGTCAACCAAACCAAACCAACTCTCTTCACTATCTCAAAAACACTACTTTCTTCACTCATTTCTCCGCAAGAAAATCAACCAAACCAACTTCAAGTCTTCATTGAAAGTACAATGTGCTGCAATTGGCAATGGCCTATTCACACAAACCACCCAAGAAGTTCGCCGAATAGTACCTGAGAACAACCAGAACCTCCCCAGTGTGAAGATTGTCTATGTAGTCCTTGAAGCTCAGTATCAATCTTCACTCACTGCAGCAGTTCAAGCTCTTAACAAGAGCTCCAAAGATGCATCCTATGAAGTTGTTGGTTACTTAGTAGAGGAGCTTCGTGATGAATCCACATATAAAAATTTCTGTAAGGATCTTGAAGATGCAAATATCTTTATTGGGTCACTGATTTTTGTTGAGGAGCTTGCATTGAAGGTTAAAACTGCTGTGGAGAAAGAAAGGGATAGGCTTGATGCAGTTTTGGTTTTCCCTTCAATGCCTGAGGTAATGAGGCTTAACAAGTTGGG